AAAAGCCAGAAGTGGTGCTGTGGCTCAAGTGGTAGAGCACTAGCCTTGAGCTGAAGAACTGAGGGACAGAGCCCAGGCCCAGAGTTCAAGCCTCACGACTGGACCCAAAAACAAACAAACAAACAAAAAATCAGCCTTGACAGGAAAGTTTGTTAGATTCATCTCCAGCTAACCAGCAAAAAGCCAGAAGTGAAGGTGTGGCTCAGCTGGTTAGAGTGCTAAGTCTTGAGTTTGGAAAAATGCTAACGGACAGCTTTCAGGCCTGGAGTTCAAGCCCCAGTACTGGCACAAATATAAAGAAATAAAGAGCTCATCTAGAATAGCCACCTTATAACTTTGTTCTTGCTATATTACATAATTATAACAGATTTCACCCACATTCTACTGAAAGGAGATCATACCATGTCAGGGCATAAAAAGAAGTTGTAATATTACAAACATTCATTAAAGTGTGTTGTTCTGGAAATAACAAAATAAGAATGGGAGGGGTGGGGACAGGATCAATGTTGGAAATAACCGTGGAAGCCCGGCATATTAGGAAATTTAACAACACCCTTCTAAATAAACCCATGGGTCAAAGAAGAATTACACTCAAGGAAATTAGAAAATACTTGAAATGGCTGGAAATTAAAAAAAAAAAACAAACCACAACCAATTAATCAATTTGTGGGATGTACCTAACAAAGCAGGTTCTCAAAGTAAACTTAGGGCTTTCAATTTTTTTTTAATTTTTTATTATAAAGGTGATGGACAGAGGGGTTACAGTTACATAAGTCGGGTGAAGAGTCCATTTTTCTTTTTCTTTCTTCTTTTTTTTTGGGGGGGGGGTCCGGTTGTGGGCCTGAACTCTGGGCCTGGGCGCTGTCCCTCAGCTCTTCAGCTCAAGGCTAGCGCTCTACCACTTGAGTCACAGCACCACTTCCAGCCTTTTTTTTTTTTTGCTTATGTGGTGCTGAGGAATCGAACCCAGGGCCGTGCATGCAAGGCAAGCGCTCTACCACTGAGCCACCTTCCCAGCCCCTCCATTTTTCTTTTTGGACCATGTCACCCCTTCTTCCCATCTCCACCCACTTGTTGCATAATTTATTTTAAGTTAGAGATTTTAATGTCTAACTCAGAAAACAATAGTATCAAAAAGAATGGTAAGCCGGGCGCTGAGGCTCACGCCTGTAATCCTAGCTACTCAGGAGGCTGAGATCTGAGGATCGCAGTTCAAAGCCAGCCCGGGCAGGAGAGATCATGAGACTCCTATCTCCAATAAACCACCAGAAAACCGGAAGTGGCGCTGTAGCTCAAGTGGTAGAGCGCTCGCCTTGAGCTGAAGAGCTGAGGGACAGCGCCCAGGCCCAGAGTTCAGGCCCCACGACCGACAAAAAAAAAACAAAACAAAAAGAATGGTAACTTAACTTTGAAACAGAAGATGGAAATATGTATATATAATATATACGTATATATCTAGAATATGTATATATAAAATATATGTATAATATATATGTATACATTATACATATACATGTATATACATATATATTATATACGTATATGTTATATATTATACATACATATATTATACATATGTGCATGTTTTAGATATATAATATAGACATATATTATGTATATGTATATGTTATATATACATATGTATATATAATGTATATGAATATGTATATATGTCTATATTATATATACATATACACATGTCTATATGTATGTCTATATGTATATATATTTAAGTTCCAGAATGGGAATTAACAACAACAACAACAACAAAATAGAGAATGACAGTGAAACCAAGAGCCGATTATTGGGAAAGTAAACAAAACTAATGAATCTTTAAGCCAGACAGAGAGGGGGAGGGGACATGATCAACCAACAGAAATGAAACGACTCGTAAGGAAATGTTATGACCGATTGATGACAACAAATTAGCTATCTTAAGTGAACGCTATGCACACTTAGTAACAGGCGAATTGCCAAATCTAATTCGAGAAGAACTAGGAAATCTGAACAGACCTGTAAGTAAGTAGAGACGTTGAATCAGGCAAAAGCCGTCTTCTTCTTGTGGAGGAAAGCCCAAGGCAGATGGTTCTACTGTAAAGTCCTACCAAATATTTAAAGTATAATGACAAACACAAACTTCTTCAGAAACCAGAGGGGGTGGGGGAAGAGGGGAAATCCATCCTTCCTGATTCTATAAGATCGTGGAGCTGTGGCTCAAGTGGTACCCCGTTAAGGGACAGATGCCCAGACCCCTGTGTTCAAGCCCCACTACTACTGGCACACACACACAAATAATTCATTAATATACTGCTAGATGTGTGCCACCTCCTGTTTTTGCTTTGGTCGGTCGTGGGGCTTGAACTCTGGGCCTGGGCGCTGTCCCTCAGCTCTTCAGCTCAAGGTGAGTGCTCTACCACTTGAGCTGCAGTACCACTTCTGGTTTTCTGGTGGCTTATTAGCAATAAGCGTCTCCTGGTCTTTCCTGCCTGGGCTGGTTTTGAACTGTGATCCTCAGATCTCAGCCTCCTGAGTAGCTAGGATGACAGGCACGAGCCACCACAGCCCAGCCTCCGGTTATCTTATACAAACTCAATCCCACTAACAGTGGTTCTTAAACTCACAAGCATCTAGAAGGATTCAGAGCAACTAAATCTGAGACGGAGCAGGAGAATGCATATTTCAATGAAATTCTCAGGAGGAGTTGGTGTTGCTGGCCCAAGAAAGACACTTTGGGGACCACTAATTTATATATATCAACTTTATAAGATACTAGTATTAACTAGCTGATAACTAGATAACTAGTATTAACTAGTATGCCCAAAGCCAGACAGCTCTTAGCAGGGACATAGATTCAAAGACAGACAATGTCCAGTTCTCTGGTTGTAAATGAGCAAAATCTTGTTAGCAACTACCAATCGAGATCTCTCTCTCTTTTCCTTTTTTTTCCTCTGTCTCTGTGTGTGTCTCTCTCTCTCTCTCATACACACACACATGTGCACACACATATACACATACACAGCCTTGATTGACATCTTCAGTAAGAGGTGATAATAACTGATATGAAGATAGTAATGATGGAAAAGTCATTCCAATGGAGTCTCAATTGTGGTCTTTCTGGGTTAAGCACGGGTTTAGAAATGCACAGGTAGGGCTGGGAAGGTGGCTCAGTGGTAGAGCGCTTGCCTTGCATGCTCGAGGCCCTGGGTTCGATTCCTCAGCACCACATAAGCAAAAAGAAAAAAGCCGGAAGTGGCGCTGTGGCTCAAGTGGTAGAGCGCTAGCCTTGAGTTGAAGAGCTGAGGGAGAGCGCTCAGGCCCAAAGTTCAAGCCCCACAACTGGACCAAAAAAAAAAAAAAAAGAAATGCACAGGTATTATGTGCAAAATGACTAATACAAAAAAAAAGAGACGTAAATGAAAATCACATGCAATATCAAAACTCAAAGTCGAGCCTTATGCAATTACAGAATTTTAGATACTTTCATCCAGGATGAGAACTAACAATACTGAGAGAAGGTAAGTCTGTTATATACCACTTTTAGAGTTCTAAGATGAAAATGGCAATTCTTTCATAGATCAGCTCTGTTCATCTCCCCCCTCCCATCTCCACCTAATTTATAACCCCTTCCTTGTTTCTTCCTTACAAACAATGTCTTCCTTAAATCGTCGGCATTGTTATTTTTGAGACCTGAATCAGAGACTGTAAGACAAGCCGGCATGCTCCATCTTGTCTTCTCCAGTTCTGTATATCTAATTAAAGCTTACCAAGTCCATAAAAAGACCTAGCATTCAAAAAGCTATGTGTGTTGGAGAAAGCCTTAGGGCAGACTGGAAAAAACTCCCTCGCTTAAATCCAGTTAAGTGAGTAATAACATATTAATTTGTACATGGAATATTTTAAAATATGGCCCAAGCTTCATCAGATCATGTTAACACCTTTTACTGGGTGGAATTAAAAAAAAAAAAATGGGTCACGTGTTTGACAAGGAGCATCCTTTTGCATTCTCAGAATGATTTTGCTCTCTGGCCTATACTGTCTTCTGCCTTTCTGGAAGAGAATTGAGTTTATTGAACTTAATCTATTCATGTGTTGGTCTTCATCTTTTTATTTGATTTTTTTGTTTTTTGGTTCTGGTACTGGAGCTTGAACTCAAGAGGCTGGGTGCTGCCCCTTAGCTGGTTTTGAGGGGGTGTTTTTTAGAGGGGAGTCCCTCAAGCTGACACTCTACTACTTTAACCATTCCACCCCCCCAGTCTGGCTTTTTTTGGGGGGGCGTTCATCAGAGATAAGAGTCTCAGGTCTCAGGTCCATGTCAGCCTCAGTCTCCCCTTTCCCTTCCCCTCCCAGTAGCCAGAAGGAGAAGGTGTGTGAGCCCCCAAAGCCTGGGCCCTGGTGGCTGCGTTTCAAATATCAGGGTTTTTCTGTTCTGGTTCAAATGAGCAGCTCAGGCCACAAATTCCCTTCAAACCGGGGTTCCCAGAGAGAAAGAGAGAAGGAACTGTCAGGGGGGGAAAGACTGCACGGTGGCCTGGAGAAGCAGAGCTCAGGGACTGGAGCCCCAAGGCCCTGGGTTCAAGACCCAGGACCACCACCCCCACCACCACCAAAGACTGCCTTATGCGTGACACACACGCCTGCAGGCTTATGTGTCCGTTTCTCCTCACAGCTCAGCTGCTTCTCCCAGCCACCGTCCCCGCGCGCGCGTGTGCCCTGGGATTGCTGCCTCGCGCGTGGATCCTCCCCGCCCCGCGTCCCTCCAGCTCCGATGCCCCCCGGGGGCGGGTATACAGCTGGACGCCTGCAGCCCGCAGGTGCGGCCGGCCACGCCCCCTCCAGACCCCGCCCCCCGCGGCCCCGCCCCCACGCCACGCCCTCTCCGCCGCGCACACGTCACGTCGACGCGCCGCCCCCCTCCCCCGCGCAGGCGCACGGACCCTGTCCCCTCAGCGTCTCCCCCGCCCCGCGCCGCTCCTCCCTCCCCCTCCCCCCCGCACCTCGGCGTCCAGTCGCCCGCCCGTCCACCCGCCCGCTCGGTATTATGATTAGCGCCGGGTGCGGGGTTCCGGCGGCCGGGAGGCAGGCGGCGGCGCGGCGGCCGTTGCTGCGGACGGTCACCCGCCTGCCGGCTGAGGTGAGGCGAGCGCGGCGCGCGTCCGGGGGGGTGGGGGGCTCCGGGAGGCGGGAGCGGCCGGGCTGGGGGGGGGGGGAGGCCCGGCCGCCGCCGGCGTCTCCTCAGAGGCCGCGGTGGGGGGGGGTCCCCGGGACCCGCGTCTCCGGCGGGAAGGAAGTTGCGCGCCCCGCGTTCCCGCGGTGTCGGGCGTGCGCGCGCGCGCGGCCCGGAGAGGACGCGGGCCTGAGGTGCGGCGGCGCGGCCTGGCGGGCGGCGGGGCCCGGGCGGCGGGGCCCCGACCCCCCCCCGGGCGCCCCAAGACCCACGCCCGGCCCTGGCGGCGGGGTTCCCCCCACCCCAGCCCCGGGGAGTCTCCCGCCGTCCCCGCGGACCCCGCTCCGCACCCGGCCCGGCCCGGCCCGGCCTCCCCGGGGCCCCTCTGCCCAGGGGGTGATCATCATCATCATCATCATCATCGTCATTATTATTATCATTGTCAGTGTTCACGATCCCTCCCGAATTGGTCATCTCTGTTGGAAAGCGATGCAGGAAATCTGGCCACAGCCTCTGGGGTTGGGGGGGGGGAGCATGGGGAGGGGTGTGTGTGTGTGTGTGTGTGTGTGTGTCCGCTTCAGCTGCCACCTTCCACAACAGAACGGGGTGTGTGTGTGGTGATCCGGAGGGAAAAAGGGGGGCCCCCACCCCGCGGGTGTGCCACTCCCGAGGGGCAGCTCGAGGGATTATTATTATTGTGGTGCTGCTGCTGCTGCTGGTGGTGGTGGTGGTGGTGGATTACGGATTGGGAAACCTATGTTCTTTCCCCTAGTCATCGCCTGTTGATTTCTTTCTGGATCGTTGTACCCTAAAGGGAGGAAAAGGAAAAAGAAAAGAAAAGGAAAAAAAAAGAGCTAGTGTCTGTCCTTGTGTTGTTGGGACTGACTGACTTGGGAGTCCAGGCAAGTGGTAGCTTTTGATGCTGGTTTTGGGGACGGGGGTCCCTAGAGCCCAGGTGCTGGTGTGTGGGTCAAGATACAGTTGAGTAGCTTCTGAAGGGAGTTGGGGGTCAAATGTACAGGAGCTTGTGTGTGTGTGTATGTGTGTGTGTGTGTGTGTGTGTGTGTGTGTTGGGGGGGTGAATTTAGTAGTGAGGGACCTCTCACACTGTCAGGTTATTTTTTTTCCCCTTTGCTTTGCTTCCCCCCCCTCTCTCCCCCTTCCCCCCCCCCCCCATCCCCTTTTTCTATTTAATTAAGCTCACTCTCCAAGTCCGGGGAGCTAAGGTGAATCTTAGTGAGTTCATGATCAGGTGTTTGGGGAGAAAACTATTGGAAGGGGCAAGTCTTTGGTGTCCTGTTGAATCTCCTCCCCCCAGATCCCTGCCAAACATCAAAATGCACAGTTTCGTGGTTTTTGTTTTTGTTTTTGTTTTTTTCTAAGGGGTTGGTTCACTATATTCCCAAATCAGACTCTGGTTTATCAGTGTCTCCTATCAGTGTACTCTAAAGCCTGGATTGCCAGAGCTTATGTAATCAACCTGTTAATTTATAATCTTGTTACATTGCTTCTCAGATTTATAAAAATTATTCCCTCAAGGAAATCTGTCATCCACGTCTGCTTAAATATTTTTCTTGGAATGAGATTCCCGAAGAAGAATGCGCTGTACAAGTTGTGATTAAAATGTACTAATTAGACAAGGTTCTTTTCTTTTTTTTTTTTTAAGGTACCAAATTGATAGTTCTTTCAACTAACTATGTATTGTCTCTGTGAAGAAAACAGGTGATTTTTACCATTTAACAGAACTAGAAACTAGAGGGAGAGCGTGACATTTCCAAGGTCACATGTTGAAGGTCTGTGGAAAATCAGGTGCGCAGTGCTTCGAGTCTGTTTGAGTAAGAAAGTGCTCCACCACTCAGTTTTTTAAGATTTGTACAATCAGTTGAGAAAGTTTGCACCTTCTAGTTTTTAGGATTTGCACAAGCTGTTACTGTCTCATTTTGTGCACAAAAGTTACTCTAATCTGTTAGTTTTTCAAAAAAGCTATTTTGAGTAAAACTTCATTATATTAGTAAAATCCATGCACTCACAACTTGTACTACTTTTGTTCCACTTTTTCTAGGCCAGAAACTATTAGCTTGGGCCTATATGATTCACAGGGCATAGTCCTTGAAGAAAGGCTTTTATTAAATCGTCTTTATTTGACTTGAAGGGCATGGATGGTATTTTTTTTTTTTTTGGTCCTGGGAAATAATATTTATCTCTGCTTGCTTGCTTCCTTCCTTCCTTCCCATTGAAAGTGAAACTAACTAGAAAAGTTACTTTTGGAGCGATTGAGCAATCAGGATTCTAAACACAGGCATAAGTGAAGGCAAAGCTTTCTAGCTCTTTGGCGCTTGCCTGCGCCCGAGAACTCACTACATTGTCTGGGAAGAAAAGGATCCAAATGCATTTTCCACATGGCCGGAATTTTAGGAATTAGAAATGTAAAAGAAGTCTAAAAGCTTGATTTAATAGTCTGTCAGTGTTGGCTTAATGCCGTTCTGTATGAAAACTTGCTCAGAATATAGATACTTCTCTGTAGAACCACTTGGGTAGAAAAAGTTGAGCAGATTTTAAGAGTTTTGAAGATAAACTCTGTGTGTGTGTGTGTGTGTGTGTGTGTGTGTGTGTGTGTGTGTGTATGTATATATGTATGTATGTATGTGTGTATATATGTATTTGCTGGTCCTGGGGTTTGAACTCAGGGCCTGAATGCTGTTCCTGAGCTTTTTGTGCTCAAAGCTAGCACTCTACCACTTGAGCCACATCTCCCTCCACTTCTGGCTTGTTGGCATTTAATTGGAGATGAGAGCCTCACAGACCTTCCTGTCTGGGCTGGCTTTGAACTGTGATCCTCAGATCTCAGCTTCATAAGTAGCAAGGCTGACAGGCATGAGCTCCCAGCGCCGTCCTGCTGAAAATAAACTTTCTGCTCGTTTTCTTCATCGTTTTCTTCATTGTTTGGGGGCTAGCTGTGGAAAAGCAAACAGGAACCAGTTCCTTTCCCGTTGCTAGGAGCTTAGAAGCCATTCGAAAATGCCAAGGTGAACTGTCACAATAGGATGTAATGGCAGCGTAGCCCATGCCAGCCCGACTCGCCGGAGGAGGAAAGGAAAGGGGGGGGGAGTAGTGCAGCTGATCTTCAAGGATAGGTGTGGAGTTCCTGCTGGGTGGGGAAGAAGGCCCAGAGCTCAGGGGAATGAGAAGGTAAGGTAGAGTGGTAAGAGGACCTTAGATCCAGGTGGGTAGCTTTTCTTTAAAGCATTGGATAAGGCAAGAATTAGCTTTGGTTCTTGTTTGTGTGCGCGTGGGGGTGGACTGGGGAAGGACTAGTGTTGTCAAACCCCTCAGGAGCGAGCTTTGGAAGCGTTTTCGGCTCTGGATGAACTGCCTTACTCTATCAGATGAGGGTCATTTCCTCCTCGGCTTTCCTGCCCATCTGCTTTGGGTGTCGGCCTCGCATCCCCTGGGGAAGCGTTCCTTGCTGTCGTTAGGGGAGGAGCCTGTGTGAAGAAGGCTCCTGCTCTGCCCTCCATCAAGTTCATTTTTCTGCTGTTAACATCCAGTGCCCACCGGGAGTCTGCTTTGGGCCTTCCCGAGTTTGGCCCCTGCTCAGGTAGGCTCTCCTATGCAAGTCAGACTTCTGTCCTGCAACCCTCCCCCCCAATCTTCCACCTTGTGGAAGATTGCAGTTACCCTCAAAGTTTTAAGTTCTGGAGTGTCTCCAGGTGGGGGTCCGTCCATCCATCTAAATGTGCACCCCCTTAATGACGTCCTTGGCCCCTTACGTAGGCTATGAGATCCGTGTTCCAGAGTCATCGACGTTTGTTGTGTACCCTGTAACTGTGGTCAGATCTCAGCCTCGCTGGGCCCTGAGTCTCTCAGCTGTTGACACGCAGCTTCCTTTTACAAATCCCAAAAGATCAGCAGCTCTTTGAGGACACCACTTCTTTGATCTAAATGGGAGGGTGTCTGCACGGTTCAGTCTCTTCACCCAAGTAAGCAGTGTCTTGATGAAGAAATGAAAAACATCTAGACCTTGTTGATTTTTTTTTTTTTTTTTTTTACTAGCCTGTTAATGAAAGTCATACTCATTTTTGTTGTTATTGTTGGTTGTGGGGCTTGAACTCTGGGCCTAGGCTCTTCAGCTCCAGGCCAGCACTCTACCACTTGAGCCACAGCGCCACTTCTGATTTTCTGGTGGTTTATTGGAGATCAGAGTCTCATGGACTTTCCTGCCCAGGCTGGCTTTGAACTGTGATCCTCAGATCTCAGCCTCCTGAGTAGCTAGGATGACAGGCGTGAGCCACCGGCACCCAGTTCCTACTCATTTTAATGTAGGTAGGCTGGCTTTAGATTGTTTTTCAAAGATACCATTTTAGAGCTACAAGCAACTCTTGCTCCCTGTGCCAAGCAAAATTTCCCCCATGCTCTGTTCTTCCTCTGTCAGGGTAGTACTTCCATCCACCGCTCTCCTGCAGATCCATTCTAGAGCATCCCCTGCCGCCTTACGCCCCGTGCTGGAATGAGTCTCCTCCACTCTGTCCTGTCACTGCCCGGTGTGTGGCAGCCCTTGCTTGTAAGCCTTTCAGTAAGAATTTACCTAGAGACATGTCTAGCGGTCTCCTTGCCCATCTCCCACCTCTCGTCTCGCCCTTTGCATCTGTCTGGGCTGTGATTTGTTAAACTGTCATCCCTGATTGCCGCTCCCTGGCCTGGGATTGTTCTTTGGCTTCTTAGGTTGGTCTCCATGTATTCATTGAATGAAATGTGTGTGGTTCTGGGCAGATACAGAGCTGCGTGAAAGGGACATGATCCTTCCGTGGACTGAATTCTCCCTCTAGTCTGGTGAGGAGGAAGGCGTGTGGATGATCAGCATGGACAAGGGCCAGCCAAGGCTGAGAAAGAGAAATGGTTTGTCTGCACGAATTCCTAGGTTCTTGGGGTGTCTGGCCTTTACCTGTCTGACCTGATCTCATGATCTG